GCTCACATGTGACCTACAAACGGCCCGATCGACTCGCGGATCTTTTATGCACTGACAGACCAATCCGCGTAGGGCTGTCTCTGGTACATATTGGTATATTAGGGCGGTCACAGGGGTAAGATAGTCCAATCTACAATATTTAGTAAGGAGTATGGAAGATACGATATATCTACTAATCTTCATGTCATCATTATCCTTTCATGACTATACTTAGTACTTAAAATATTGTATTCTAACTCTAAACTTCTATATTAGAGTCTTTTAGGGTACTCTGAAATAATAATAATGAATGGGTTCTATTCAAAGGCGTGCAAAAGTTTTAGGCGTGGGCAGTCAGGTGCTTACTCAAATCACTGAATACAACACCGAGTACCTTCAGTCGAGTATTTTTATTACGTTTTCACTGTTTAATTGCCCATAATGTATCGCATGCTTCAGCTATGTATTACTGTTGTAATAAAATAGTTTGACTACCACTAGGTAACTAATTAAAAAAGAAACAAAAATCATACAATTTTAATTTAATGAGATTGTTGTGAATATCTCGACCTCAACTCAGCGGCTCGGAACATCGTAAAAGCCATTTAATAGCCTTCGGCGAAAACGATACGAAAGTACATGCCCACCGACCCTTCACAGTATAGGGCTTTCTTATTCGCGGCCTACAATGCCCTCTATAGAAAAAGACATTTTACACGCAAGTTAACGATCCCTGCTTTTTAAATCAGATCAATACTTGGGGCGCGTGTAAAAGGGCACTAAAGCCAACAATGTGACTGGACTGGTCATAGACTGAAAGATCTTGGGCCTTATACTTTGAATAGGACTTTACGAGATACTTTTAGAGGTATACACGGTGGGATATAGCATTCCATTAAAAAGTAGGATAAGGAAATCACAAGAAATAATGTAGTTGCAGTTTTATTTTCCATCGTATTGTTTTCTGACTTGACATTTCCGTTAAAGTTATCGTTAATAGCAGGTGCAAGTGAACGTGAAGTATGACTCAACAGTCGTAATCATATAGCTCTCATGTTGCGCTACGATAGCTAAAGATTTAGCGAACGTAGAGCTGAACATTAATTCTAATGAAAGTATTATTTATTTCATTTCATATGGTTTTTATAAGCAAGAATACGAGGCGCAAAGCTTTTGGTAATATGTATAATAAAACCCACTAGCAGAAGCCTCTAGATGATTTTGTGTATGAATATAGGAATGAATTAGTTATTTACCTACTTTTTAACATGATGTTAAAGGTGGAAACATAATGGGTCAATATCATAGGTGTAGCTCGACAGTATAAAATCCTTATTGGTTATCTATCTTTGCACTTCAATAAATAAAACAAAATACTTCCATTTCCTTGAAATAAATGTTGGCAACCCTTCCGTTGCAATGTTTGTCTATGCCTGAGCGTGTTGCAATCAGCGCGACTGTAAAATATTTACCGTTGTTAAAAATTCAGCGTCCACGTGTTTTAGAGGAAAATGTTTCGGACTACCAGCGCCTCTGCTTTGTAAGTTGTTTTGTTTGCTCGTTGAAGTTCTGCAACTATGCTAGTTAAATGCTTTAAGCCAGTGCAGACAAAGTATGAGCTGTAACGAGTTGTTGTGTAGTATTCGTATTTTATTGCTTTATTCAAAATAAAATATTCTAGCTACGAACTAAATATTTTCAATTTTATACGAGACTGAGTACGCGAAATTTGAAGTAAAGACGACAACATAATTATTATTAATATCAGATCACCACAGTACCTACGAGTATCTAATTGTAATTTCAAAATAGCCCCTACTGCAACTATTACATATCATTATGTGTGCAGAGTTTCGATTAACGTTTTGTCCTCTGTAAGACTCTGACAAACATACCCACTGCATTATTTGGTGTAGTTTTCACATGACTACATAACTCACCGATGTAAAATTTTATGTATTGTAAGTTCACTTTCTCACGCTCATGCTCGTGGTTGAAAACATCTGTGAGTTCTAAGCCTTAAACTTCTATACCTACCCGTAGTACAGGAGCATAGAGCGTCGGATCTAATTTGATCATTGATTCGTACGAACGGAACGAACAAGTCTGGTCTTGGTTTTTTTGCCGCATCCCGTATGTACGGCAAGCTGAACAGAATTTCAATTGAGACTATTGAATGTGCTCAATGTCATTGTTCCTAGCAAAAAGCAAGAAGTCTACGTGCTTTCTTTGTGACATTCGTATGTTTTTGCTTCGGCTATGTTCTAAAGCAGCAAATTCACCTTTTCCAAAGAGATATATGAGGAAATTGATAATAAATAGATTAGTAATTACATTTTCTAACAATGTTAGTAGACATTTAACGAACCCCAAATTAAACAAATTGTACCTTAATGTAATTGTACACTACAGCCATGAGATAATGAATGTTGATACTTAAATACTCTTAGATACAAATTAACTTTCATTATGTCTCCAAAATACCCAGACATACAAGAATTTACTTCTAGAAGAATTCGAACTCGAAGCATGGAACTACAATGCCAGAAGGCTATTAAAATATAACCTACAGCGTCGGCAAATCAGACTGAATGTGTTGTTGCAAAATCGGACACATTCCAACTACATAAGAATCACGTTATTTATATTTTTGTTATACGTGAACAAAATATTGAAAGTTCCCACTAATCAAGATCTCCTAGATTTTCCAATAACGTTCTAAAAATAGCTTAATTAACAAAAACTACTTAAAAGTGTTGATCACAGACCTGGAAATCAATTTTTCGAGTCCATTTTGGGATAGCCAAGTGCGGTTGCCTCCGAAAGGAAACTTCCTAAATTGGAATAGTTCCCGGGTTATTTCGCGTTGGCATCCATCTTTGGGGGTGGAAGGGATGCCGATACTGGAAAGGGTTTTGTGGGTTTTTTCATATGTCAATACCCATCTCGCGGAGTGTCTGTTTTATTACTCCAATATCACGATATTTGACAACATAAGTATTGCGTAGGTAAAACATTTTATCATTTGTTTGGATTTGGGCATATAAATGTCGAAACAATTTCAACAGGAAATGTTGGAATTGAATTAGAATACTTTTAGAAGCAATGTATAGCATTGAAGATCTATTGTCGGCCGTTTGGTGTAGTGGTTCAGAACGGACTTCTATGCCGAGAGGTCCCGGGTTCGATTCCCGGCCGGGCAGAAATTGAAATGATGAATTTTGATTTCTGTGACGGGTCTGGGTGTTACTATGTATAATATGTATGTATTTAAAAAAAAATATAAATAGTATATCCGTTAAGCTAGCACCCATAACACAAGCATATTAATTGCTTACTTTGGGGCTAGATGGCGCTGTGTGAGATTGTCCAAAGATATTTATTTATTTAAAGATATTTATATGAAACGCTTAAATGGATATAATATCATGTTTCAGTAAAGATTAGGTTATTCTCTACTAAAGTACAGAATATGGTACATCAAGCAAAACACTGTGGCATTTTATGAACTTTGTAAGTAAGTAATTTTATTAACTTTGTTTGTAACTAAGTAATTTTAGAACAAATAAGTTAGTGCTGTCTACTGTACATTATAGTTAGTTCTGTTTATGTAATTCATAGAACAGCGTAAAATAATATGAGAATACAGAGATAACTTTTTGTCTATTTTCTTTTCACGACTCTCTGTGATTAATCACGAACAGTATTAAATTTCCCTCACGTCATCACTCTCACGTGAAACGAAAATGCGTTATTAAAATTTTCCAGGATTAATGCCTTATGTTTTCCCGTTGCTTTTACCAGTGAAATGCTTAATTAACAGCGCACACATGTTGTTTACTGCGAAAAAGATAAGCCGGAGCTATCAAGGGCTCAACTTATCTCGCCGATCCAGGATTCTGCATGGCTGTAAATTTTTTGCCGGCTTTTACGATTTACAGCGTTATAAATTCTGAACGAATGCGGATAGTAAAACGAAAAGCTGAGTGAATTTTTCAACGAGACCTCAATTTTGTGTTGGTACCTACTCCTACTATGTATGTACTACATAGTACGGTATGTGCAGCGCAATTTTATTGCCACTCGTAAAATACCTAGCTCATGGCGTTTTTCATACTACTCGGTATAAAAGCTTTGGTGTACGATAGAGCAGATATTTTCAGTGAATACGCTGCCTCTTCAGGCTTGTATTGGTTGGTTGCTTTGATGGTAACCTATTCAGGTTAAATTAGGGATTTATATGTCGTAATTTAAATGTGGGTAATAATCGAATAGATTCAATGATATTTCGTACATACGGAAGCGCTAGGTTCATGAATATGACATTTGTTATGTTTTTCATGTCCATTTATGGTTTCATTTATACTTAAACTACTGAACCAATCATAAGAATTTTGGATCACGGACAAAGTTGGGCTACTTTTTGTAAAAGGGGTACTTTTTGTAAAAAAAGACTTTGAAGATTAAATAAAAGATTTTAAAGAAAGAGAATATCTTTTAAGTAAGATAAATATTTTATGCCTTTTGTGAGAAATAAAAAGTCGTAGATTATAACATTCTTTAGGTTTTACGACTGATTTTTAGAGGGTCTCGCGATAAGCATTTTGTGACAGACCTAAATCCATGCGGGCGTAATCTCGAGCAGAAGTTATTCTACTATAAAACATTCATCGCCACCTCAACAATACTGTATGGGAGATTAATTTAATGCCTGATGCGTATACTAAAGCCACATACTACTTGTCTTTTAAAAGTCGTAATTTAAAAGTACCGACGCCATCACATATGTATACATAGTTAGGTGTAAAAATCTCATAAGACGTGATAAACGAGCCTAAGGCTTATGCTAGTTACAATAAATTCTTAATACTTTCTTGAATCTTTCCATATTCATATTAATACTTTGAGATGGTGACATCATCTGTACTCGAGCCTTTAATCACATAAATTAAATTCCTTTTTTCCACGTGTAGGTAATGTAAAAATCCTTACAATTTATTTAATTCGGCGTGTATTTCCAGTTATGTGGTGCTCATTAGGGAAGAAAACGGGCGCCTTCCGGTCGTTCAAACGAAAGCGTTTAAAACGGTCTTCAGGTGAGCGTACTTCCTTTTTGCTATGTTTATTTTGTCCAGAGTTTTTCAAAGTGTTATTTTTTGTTGGATTACAAGAACTAATATTACGCCCGTATTCACAAACATTACTATTAGGCCTAAGATGCGCGCCGTGATAGACGGTTATCACGCCATTTTATCGATTTTGCCCATACAAATTGACGTCGATAAAAGTTATCACGGCGCGCATCTTAGGCCTATATGTCTCACAATGCGCGTTGACGCACAGGGTGACACATGAATCAATCACAGAGCTCTATTCAACGCTGTGTGTTCGATTTGATGCTTCTCATAAGCAAGCATCGTTTGTGAATACGGGTGTATGAATAATGAGTAAATATCTAAATGTAGTTGAGTTAAAATGTTAACAGAGCTGTAAAATTTATTGCGTCCGTTACGAGTGTACAGTGTCGAGAAATGCATGTGTGTTTCGATTAAAGTTGGGCGCCTCTTTGACACGATATTCATTTACTTTTTGTTTCCCGTTTCTCCTTTATAATGTTTTTTGTGTCCTATAAAAATAAATGTTTTATCGGTCAAAGAATCCGTTTCATAATCGATTGTAATTACTAATTACTGAGGGCCTAGTGTAAGTTTACATGAAACAAAGTGAGCGCGTAAAAAATTACATTAAATGTATGACGGATTGTACAGCGCCCCTAGCGGAAACGTTCAAGAACTAAAATGTTCATGCATTTTTTAAACGCGCTCACCAGTGAGAACGTTTGATGTAAACTCACACTCAGCCCACTGGTATCCGTTTCTGTATGGTAAGTATTAGTACCACATCTATCAGTCCATCAAACGGATTGAAAATCAAAGTTTTTCTTACAGACTCCCGGCCTGAACTAGTGTACACTTTCATCGAACAAGCTGTACAGCCAGGTGCACAGGTGGCGCTCAAGTGCTCCGTGGTGGGAGAGCCGCCACCTCGCTTCAGGTGGAACCTGGATGGACTGCCGATACCAGCTCATCACGGGTGAGATTTATAATAATACCTAATAATAATAATTGTTTATTTGCATAAAACATGGCATACAGTTGTTACAGCTATAAAATAAGTCCACATGAGACAGGTAATGCGAGAATTTTTTTACCAATATTTATTTAGTCAGGTGGCAATCACAAACTTTATTAGGAAAGGTGATATTAGCACTCAGTTTCTAAATAGTAAATTTAAGATTATTTATAGAACAAATAAATTGTCACGGCATTTATAGATTTGCCCAAAGTTGCATTTCACTGACATTGAAGATTCAATCGTTCCAGAAGTTCTCTCTGGCTCGCGAGCAGATAGATTTGATGCAAGATCAATATCTATTGTCGGTCGGTCTTCAGTTAGAGCTGTATAAATAGATTTGCGACGCTCTACATTTTACCCTAAAATGTGGAAAAGGAAATAGAATCATTAGTAATATTCGTTCAAACTTAGTTGAAATGATGATGATTTTTTTGTTAGTCAAATTAAACCACTGCCAATCTAACTTACTTTTTTTATAAACTAAGATAAATAAATAATTTTAATGAACAGCAAAACCGTTGCTAAAAACAACATGGCTTGCTCCATCTGATAATGGCCTGTACAGCAAAAATACAACGGGCGTTAACGTTTTTCTCTCTGTCAGAATGCACAGTAATGTTGAACATAGCTTTAAAAGAATAAATAAGCTCTAAAACATTTCGCGTTGTAAAAACCGAGCGGGCCGACATTAGATGTGTGTAAAATGTGCACAGAAACGGGCTTGCTTGCCAACTGTCGGTATTTCGCCCTGTCTTGCCACACAACGGTGTTTGAGTGCCAAATCGAGATGGATGATATAACAATACGAAGCACATTACACGATTTTAAGTCTATGCTATGTGCAGACATAAATTTTGTTTTATATCCGAATGAGAATTTAGATCAGATAAATTCTTTCTTTTTTTACTGCTTGCTTTATTTACGAGATTGAGCAAGACGTTGAATTTGATATAATGCAGACATGTTAATATCATTCTTCAAGTAAAGCGTTTTGCATTTGTCATAGTTGATTCAGCAAGACAATAAAGTGTTTCATTGTCTACAGTGCCATCATAACCGAGGGCCGTGAAAGTGGCCCAGCTGGCGTGGGTGCAAGCGGCAACTACGTGCTGTCTACGCTGTCACTTACCAGCGCGCGCGTGGAGCACGGCGGCAGATACGAGTGCCGCGCCACCAACGTGCACGGGTCCATCGCTCATGCTGCCAGGCTCAATGTTTATGGTATGCTTCATAACCGATAGCTGGGAGAGCGGCCCGGCCGGCGTAGGTGCCAGCGACTACGGATATGTGGTCCTAAGAGTTTTCTCTAGTTTAAGCTATATATTTTATAGCTATATACGAGTATATATCACTATAGCCCTACGGTTTTCTCTGCGGATCCATCGATCGGAAACAATCGTTTTTGAGAATTATTTTTAAATAAGTAACAATATTGTTAAGTTGCTTTTTTTTAGCGCTAAAGGCGGCCCCATTTGTCAAGTCAATCAATTTTCATAGTCATTACATACAGGCAGTACACAAATTAATAGCGTTCCCAAAAGCTTAGGGCATCATTGTTATTGCATAGAATAATTACAACATTGATTACGTTTCCCAAAATGTACTGATGGGGCTCAGAATGCGTAGCAAACTTGTTACTAAACCTATGTGGTTCGGATTGAGCACAGCCAGCGTTACGATTGGCGTGCAAATAAGGCCCATATGAGTGGCGCGCTGCTACGCGGCTACGAGCTACGAGGCTACGAACTACGAATCGCGTGTGCTACGAATACTACTTATCGGTTAGCTAAATCGACGATTGTTAAAATGGTATTGCTATGATTTCGACATGGTACCTACTTAATATGTGTATAAAGTGAATTGTATTTAAATATACATATTCAGTTACAGTATACTTTCTTGCTATATTGTTATTTTAATAATTTATCACTTAGCTAGTACATTAAATATTATTATGCCCCTAAAATGTATTTTATCAATACCAACAGAGCGCGGTCACATTTGGCTCATGTTCAATGTGTCAATATCTGAATTTATGATGCTGAAAATGTATTATGAATATTATGGTCTGATGTAATATAAATAAAACCACGTGATTATTTGGATTACCTTACCTCATTATGGTTCGTAATTAATTGTTGCAATCGTTAATCAAAGCAATGCAGTGGTTAGTAGCTAAAGTGAAAAAAGGTGCCACAATCAAATGTATATTAAAAATTTAAGATGAGAATACACGTGATTACCATACCAATATAGGTATTGTATCTTAGGCCTATTCAGTCCCATAAATTGAATCAGTTAATTTGGGCACGCTCTATCTATCTTTGTACGACTCTAAATTCCCGGAAAACGTTATTCAAAACTTTATTTTATTACAAGTTAGGGTCTTATTTCTAGGTCCACCTTATATCAGAGCATTGGCGCCTGTGAAAGCGGTTGCCGGGTCTGAAGTGACCATTTGGTGCCCCTACTACGGATTCCCTGTTGAGTAAGAAACTTTTAGATTGTATGTATTTTTTATTTCATTAAAAAAATGATTTTACTATAGAATGTTCACGCATATGCTGTAACTTTAGGGTAACTTGAAGTAAGTAATTTAAATATTAACCTTTTTGTACACTAATTAAAAAGTTATTAATAAGGCTAAATCACGACAATCATTATTCTTGTAAGAAAAACAAAACACAAAAGATAACAGAGTTTTCATTACGGCCAAACTATTATAATAATTATCCACTCTAAATAGACATTTTCTAAAAAATCCAGTCTTAAAATCTGGGGGCACGGCAGTGCCCCCGCCAAGTCGAGCGCGAAGCAAACACTGCCGTACCATCCTTTACTGGAACCATTTCGCCGCATTTTCAGGCCTCTATTTGAGAACCTTTAGATAAGACCAGAACGCAGAAATTTTCGTCATCTAGTAAGCTATAATCACACACTTAAAATCCAAAATTTCAAGTCTGTAGGTCAATTAGTTCCGAAGTTAAGCGAAAGCAAAGTTTCGCATTTATGACACTCACTCACTCACTGATGATCATCAAAATAGAACTAGTACTTCCCATTAACTCAGAGAGCTGAAATTTGGTACAGAGTTAGGGTTTAATGGCCACATAAAGGGAAAACTATAAAAACTAGGAAAATCGAAGATCTGGAGTAACACCACATTCATAATAATCAATACTACTAGCGCCACACCGGCGCCGTGGTGTTCGCCTGTACCGCTCACCGCTAGATGGCGCTAGCACTTTGAGCGTCGATTTTCTGCACCGCGGTGTCCAGATTTTTTTTCCCCTCTAGTTATTATTAAATCAATTCTGATTCGTTGTCCTTTTTAAAGATGTGTTTAATATCGTAAAAAAAATGACGATAATATTAAAGGACGACGACGTTAAATAATTATGCCACATTCTACAAAAAGAAGCTAAATCCCACCAAAAACATTCTGTAAAAAACTAGCCAAGTCTCGATGGAGCTGCTTGTTTATCTCTAAAAAGTAATGAAATCTAGACAAAGTCGTGCCAAGTCTATGGTTCTTTACTGCGATTTCTTTTTTATTATAGTTAATGTTGTGTGACTTGGCCGTTGAACAATCTTTATTAAGATAATCAATAATTATGCATAAGTATTATTGAAATACGCAGCTTTATTAAGCCTACAATTAACTGGTTATTAAATCAACGTTTTCCAAGTGGCAATTTTCCATCGTCAATGGGTAGTGGTTCTGGCAACAGATTGGTGCAATGGTGTCATGGAGCACCTGGTTTTGTACCCTTCAACGGCCAAGTCACACAACATTAACTATAATAAAAAAGAAATCGCAGTAAAGAACCATAGACTTGGCACGACTTTGTCTAGATTTCATTACTTTTTAGAGATAAACAAGCAGCTCCATCGAGACTTGGCTAGTTTTTTACAGAATGTTTTTGGTGGGATTAAGTTTGTTTAATTCATAAATTTGATACCAAAGAAATAAGTTTTCCGACCATCAATTTCTCTCGTAACATGAAAATAACATTACTTTTATAACTTCGTGAAGGACGCGCGGAAAGTTACACACTTTCCCAAACAAAGTTGCTAACCATGTTATTTTTTATGTAAAAGTCGGGGCAACTTTCTGTATTTCTTAATATACGAATAAACTTTTAATACATTACTTCTGGTATTGTATTCGGTCTAAATTATTGACTCGTATCATATGTGCAGGACGACTACAAATCGGCGAGCGGAACCCTAAAAATATCAAAAGAAACCGCAGTAAATACGTATACGCAACTATAGCTATAGATATGTAAATAAATCATCGGCGCTCGGCAAGTACATCAAAAGACAGAGACAGCGCGAGCGCGCAAAGGACAGCGATAGCACGCGCGCCCGCGATATTCGCCCTTACGTTCTACGCAATAAGGCTCATATCCGGACGCCTTATAGTTTGTTTACGACTCCCGCGAGTTCGAGTAAGTACTTGCGTATTCCCGAATACGGGCGGACCGCGTATTATTCTAGAAAATAGGCGGGATTTTATGGGTATATAAACCGGCTGCCGGGCCGCACCAAGCATAGTCTTCTCTAAACAATCGAAGAGAATAGTCTCTCATAGTAAACCGAAGAGAATAGTCTCCGATAGTACAGCGAAGAACAGTCTACGCAAGAGTCTCAAGAGCGCATAGTGAAGATAGTGAATAGAAGAACGACTACAGCATAGACCTCGGACACCGTTATAGCAGAGCGACTTCGGATACCGTATAGACCGGACTCCTACAGCGTGTGACATCGACCGCACCGTGTTCACCGTTTAATAGCGTCACACCGCACATAGTATAAAAGCCACGAGGTACGAAGACGTGGCAACGATCCACCACCGATTATAGTATAGTAGTGCAGCGATTGGAGACACCGTCAGCGGAGCTTCTACAGTCTACAGTCCACCGCTCTCCGTTCACCGCATTCGACAGCCCACTCCGCTCATTCACTCCAGTCATCAGTTATCTGGCCTCAGACAGTTCCGTACAGTTTTTAGCCGGATAATAAACAGTCCTGCACAATTTTTCTGGTCCTTCGAGCCGGATGAGGTACGAAGACGTGGCAACGATCCACCACCGATTATAGTATAGTAGTGCAGCGATTGGAGACACCGTCAGCGGAGCTTCTACAGTATACAGTCCACCGCTCTCCGTTCACCGCATCCGTACAGTCTACTCCGCTCATCTACTCCAGTCACAGTTATCTGGCCTCCGACAGTTCCGCACATTTTTGTAGCCGGATAATAAATAGTCCTGCACATTTTTCTGGTCCTTCGAGCCGGATCGTTGTCTACCGATCCCGAAGTTATAGAACCTTCGAGAACACCGAAGCGGCCTTCGTGAAGTGGCATAGTACAGCACCGATAGAAGATGCCTGTGACACGATCCAGGAAAGGCAAGGCGAAACCATCGCAGCCCGCTACGCCGCCCATGACGCCATCACCAAAAAACATGACGTCATCACAGTCCGCCGTAACCGCACAGGAGGAGTTAATAGAATTAGGGCCTCCATCCGTTCCACCTACAGACGTCACAGGAGACGAACAACACTCGACGGCCTCACTGCGAGCACGGCTCTCGCATACCGACTGCGTCCGTCGATTAGCCAAGGCGGAGGCAGAGATAGCCCGCCTACAGTTAGAGCTTGCCATCGCCCGTCGCAAGCTAATCGAAATGGAGTCCGCCGATAGTAAAGACTACTCGGCATCTTTGAAAGGAGATGGCGACTTACAACCGCCATCCCCTGTAACCGTCACCGCACCGCAGCCGACGTCATCGAAACAATTAATAGACCTCACGGAGCTCGCATCCGCTATCGCAACAGCAGCGCGCGCCGGACAGCAGCCACAGTTTATAGGAGAATTGCCGAACTTCAGTGGCGCGCACTACGATTGGCTCGCGTTCAAAGCAGCTTACAACGAAACAGCGAGTTTTTTCAGCGAGATAGAAAATATCGCAAGACTCCGGCGGTCACTTACCGGACGAGCAAAAGAAGCCGTGACCTCTTTGCTCATAGTAAACGCGAAGGCGCAAGAAATCATGCGCACTTTAGAAATGCGCTTTGGCCGCCCGGACTCAATAGCTCTGTCCGAGATAGAAAATCTGAGATGCCTACAGAGACTTGTCGACTCGTCGCAACAGGTTTGTGTGTTCGCCAGTAAAATACAGAACAGCGTAGCGACACTCCGTGCACTTGAGCGAACACACTACTTGTACAATCCCGAAATAGTTCACAGTCTAACAGAGAAGCTTACACCAGCGCTTCGGTACCGCTGGTACGACTACGCCTGGGAGCATACAGAAGAGGAGCCGGACCTCATCAAGTTTAGCCGCTTCATCAAGCGAGAGGCCGAGAAGTGTGCCAAGTTTGCCGCTCCCGAACCGATTTACCACGAAGACAGTCACCGTAAACCACGAGCCCAGCGTGTCTTCCATATCGAACAGAAGAAAATAGTTTCACAGAGACCGTCGTGCCCAGTGTGCGACGGCAACCACTCCGTCACCGACTGCTACAAGATAAAGAAAGCCGAAAGCAGCGAACGCTGGGAGATGGCGAAACAGAACCGCCTTTGCTTCCGCTGCCTTCGTCCCTGGAATAGAGCACACAGATGCCCAGGCATACAATGCAGAGTAAATGGGTGCCGAAAGACACATCACAGAATATTGCACCACGAAACCGTCGCGCCTACAGAGAAAATACACGCAATAGTTTCGCCTACACACGTCAAAGAAATTGCCGCTACAAATCGATCAGGCGCTAATAGAAATCGAAGCTCATCGCGTAACCTGCGGGAGTTATCGTCAAATAGAAACCGACAGGAGTCATCGCAGCTTCCATACCGGCGGGAGGCTTCAGGGCGTGGAAGAAATATAGAGGAACAGCGTAGAAACATTATGAACCGCTCATCGTCCGTACCACGCCAAACACCGCGAAGTAAAGACAGACGGCGTTCAACAGCAGACTTCTATAGACAACGCCAAACTACAGAATCAACGAACTGGAGAGAGAAGACTCCAGTACCGGCGGGAGATACAGAACTGCATCACCGTGACCGTAATAGTTATCTCCGTCACCGTTTCACCGAGCAGAGACAGCAGCCGTCCTGCTAGCTGTTTTTCTGCATCGACGAGTCCGTCGCTGCACGGCGGGAGTATGTGCAGGACGACTACAAATCGGCGAGCGGAACCCTAAAAATATCAAAAGAAACCGCAGTAAATACGTATACGCAACTATAGCTATAGATATGTAAATAAATCATCGGCGCTCGGCAAGTACATCAAAAGACAGAGACAGCGCGAGCGCGCAAAGGACAGCGATAGCACGCGCGCCCGCGATATTCGCCCTTACGTTCTACGCAATAAGGCTCATATTGGTTTTCATGTCTCATAAAAATACATTGCTACCCTATTTGTTATTCTGTTGCCTGTTTTTTTGCAATAGTAGGTATACGAGTAAAGTTTCTTGCCT